GGTTAGGATAATTAGGCAAGTTATTGTATAATGATGGTTTGTTCTGAAGACTGTCGAAAAAAATATAGCTTAAAACGGCTTATAATTTTGACCTTAAAATGGTTTATAAAAAATTTAAAACTGCTTTTATTCTGGTCGAAATAAAACAAATAAGACTTTCTCCAGAAGAAAAAAATTATCAGACATACTGTGAAAATGTCTTTGCTCTGTTAAACACCATTTAAGAAATATTTACAAAAGAAAAAAAAATCAAAGGGGGGCTAATAAATCTGACTTTACCTGTATATAATAACATTTATATAGAATTTGTATCAAATATAATACATTTTATGTTTAAATATAAATAAACATTTTATCCTTTTTATCTTTATTTAACATTTTATTTATAATTTAATATATGCATGTGTGTATTTATATATACATAATAAATATACACAGTACACAGACTTAAATAATGTCAAAACAAACTTTTATTTTGCATGGGATTCATTTTTCCCCCAGCACTGTTTAATAGCATCTATCAAATTGGAATGACTAAAATATGAATCGAATGTTCCCATAAAGTGACATTCACCAGCACACTGTCTATTGGCTATTTACAGTAGTTTGCTATAAGCAGTTATAATATTAGTGGCATTGTATTAATCAGAATTACCCAGTGATTCCTGTTCCGCCATGATCAAAACAGACATGCAACCAATTTTTGGGTCACAAACAACCCTTTATCTGGGATCCAACCAAATCATTTCATTATATAGTTTAGATATATGCTTAACCAACATAATTGTGCAACTCACAGCACATAACACATGGGCGAATACACACTCATGCTCTTCCCTCGCTGACAATACATCGGCCCCCTTTGGGAGAGGATCAATAAGGGTGATTGGAAACATTTTAAACAAGCACTGATCCCGGGCTCTCAGGAGGCTGTGGCCACCCACAACAGCCCAGTCTAATTAATCACACGCTCTCCGAGCTGACACGCACTAATCCATCATTCCCACATCTCTCACACACGCAAACACACATGACCTTACAGAACTCTACTCTCACCCTGTCTGAGGTTATGAACTACTTGCTGTGAACTGAGACCCATTTCAATCCCAAACACTAAATTAGGGCACACACATGTTTTGTACTTAATTTACTGGACTTCGGATATGGATTTCTCCTGACGTACATCTTATAAATTAGGATGTGTTGTTAAAGAGTGCTAAAGAGACAGGTTTGATGGCTAAAAACGTAAAAAAGAACTACATTTTCTCTCCAGTCTTGATTCTAACACAAAACTACAGTATATGAGCAGAAATGAAAGCTGCTGCTCTCCATAACACTTTCCAATGTCTCATTTTGTGTTCATATCTGTAATGAACAAGCTTATTTCAAAATATTACATTGAAAGGTCATTAAAAGCCCAAACACCTGCCCATAGAGTGTTCCACTAAGAAATGTGGAGGAGTGTGAACAGGAATGTGTTTTCCTGGTCCACTGGAATCCAATCAGACCACTATGCATCTTAATACTTGGGATAAACAAGGCCAAAACGTTCACCACTGGATACTTAATTTGTTTGTAAATAATCAGTTTATGCCAGAACTGTAAATTATTAAGCAATTTTCATAGGATTAAGTGAAAAAAACATCTTTTATGTTCACTATATCATTTTGATCAACAGTATAAAGCGATTGAGTTGAAAGTTTAAAAATGAGTGTTTTTTTTTATTTACAGTTGAAATGAGAATTATTAGCCCCCGTTTATTTTTCTCCCCAGTTTTTGTTTAAAGGAGAGAAGATTTTTTTCAAAACATTTCTAAACATAATAGTTTTAATAACTCATTTCTAATAACTTATATCTTAATAACTTTATCTTTGATAAAATAATAATATTATATAATATAATATAATAATAAATAATATTTGACTAGATATTTTTCAAGACACTTCTATACAGCGACATAAATTTAACACGATAAAGTGACATCTAAAGGCTTAACTGGGTTAATTAGGTTAACTTGGTTAGGATAATTAGGCAACTTATTGTATAACGATAGTTTGTTCTGTTGACTATCGGAAAAAAAAAGCTTTAAAAGCTTAAAGGGGCTAATAATTGTGTCCTTAAAAAGACTTTCTCCAGAAGAAAAAATATTATCAGACATACTGTGAAAAATGTCCTTTCTGTTAAACATCATTTGGAAAATATTAAAAAAAAAAAAAAAAAAATATCTGAGGGGGGCTAATAATTCTGACTTCAACTGTATATGTATAGTATATTTGATTATAATAGGTTACTTGTAACAGGCTATTTATATATGTATAGCATATTTTATTCAATTTACACACAGACACGCACGCACACACAAAAAAATATCTCAAATTAGCATTTTGCTAATAGGTTAATACATTGTCGTGTAACGTCTAATATAGTTATAAACTACACTAAACTAACAGCACTCTAGATGTGTTTTGAAATAAAATATTGTTACGGTCTGTGTGAGTTTGGATTTTTGTCACTTTCTCCCACTCTGTCGCTATCTCTCTCCTAGTCTGCCATTTGCTCTTTGTCTCGCCCTATCATCTTTTGTTCCCCTTTTCTTTGCTTTCACAGGTATCTGCTGATTGGATCCTGAGCCCTTCACTCCTCATTAGGGCGTTTTCTCATGGACCAATCAGGCTTTGTTCTGTGAACTTTAAATTTAAACGCCTTGTTTGTTCAGTGCTGTGTATGTGTGTGGGTTTGTGCTGTGCACGCTCACTCCTGTTTTATATTATAATTATAGTTATATTATGATTTGTTCCTTATTGTCTCTGAACTACTACAATATCTGTAGTCTCAATATGGTTTAAAAGTTAATCATTTTTTGGGGGGAGGATTTTGCCCGTAGTTATTTAAGTGTTCAGACACATTAGATAAGTGGGTGAGCGCCGCTTTTTGTATTTTTGTTTATTATTTTAGGGAGTGTACTTTATTGGTGTCGACTATGCTGTTTCTGTTTCACATTTGTATTTTCCTTTATTAAGTTTAGAGGGGACCTTGTGTTCTAGTTTATGTGGCCGTTGGTTTTGTTTAGTTCTTTGCTTTGGTGCCACTCTAGTTTCCTTTCCCCTCCCTGTAACCTTTGGTTTGATTATATTTCTATAATTGCTTCTATTTATTTTTAAATACACTGTATAAAGCTCATACATGCTCTTTTATTGGCTTTATCATTTTTCCTTATAAACGTTTAAACAAATTAAATGTTAAGACTGTTTGTCCTTGTTTATCCTTGTGAAGAAAAAAACTGAGCTGGTCTGGTTTGGCGATCCTAACCCTATGCATTTGGTAGGTTTTGGTGAGCAATCAACTTATCAAAAGCCTGTTGTTAGAAACCTGAGATTTCATTTTGATAGTGATTTGAAATTTAACAAACAAGTAAATGAAGTTATCAAATCCAGTTTTTTCCATTTACGACTTGTGGCAAAATTAAAGTCGTTTCTCTCTTTTAATGACCTTGAGAAGGTGATCCATGCTTTTATTTTGGGAAGACTTGACTATTGCAATTCTCTTTATGTGGGTATTAGTCAAAATGCCCTGTATAGATTGCAATTAGTACAAGACTTCTGACAGCGACTCGCAAGTACGAGCAAATATCCCCAGTTCTTTCCTCTCTGGGCTGGCTGCCTGTTAGGTCACGGATTGATTTGAAACTATTAATCTTTGTTTTTAAATCCTTAAATGATCTTGCACCCCCTTACTTATCAGACCACCTACATGTATATAATCCTGGTAGGTCACTGAGGTCTTCTGATAAATTTATTCTTTCTGTACTAAGGTCCCGTTGTAAGCAAAGTGGGGATCGGGCTTTTGCTGTTATCGCCACAAAACTCTGGAACGGGATTCCACCCCACATCAGACACGCTCTAACTCTATCTGTTTTTAAAAGCGTTTGAAACTCCATCTTTGTTCCTTAGTATTTGAGCCTTTTTAATGTTGAGGTGTTTGCCTTGTGTTTTAATTGTTATGTATGTGATGTAGATTTAATTTTTTAGTATTGATTGTGTTCAGCACTTTGGGCAACAATGTGTTGTAAAAAATGTGCTATATAAACTAACTAACTAACTAACTAACTAACTAACTAACTAACTAACTATTTCTATCCATTTTTTTGAGTAATAATATAATTTTACTAAATGTTACGTTTTCTCTTCCTAGACACCTTATTAAATCACAACAAACATGATCCTAAGTAGAATGTAGCTATCAAATAAATGTGACTCAACTACAAATTAAAGACCAATTAAAATCAATTCTCTCAAACTGATTGCTTCAACAAATACAAATCCATCCATTGTGTCAAAAAGGTTTACGCAGTGATAAGTGGAGTCTGTGTGTGTGAGTGACAGACAGCATTTAACCAGCTTGTCTATGAGAGTATGTGATAATCACTCAGCATATTTCTCTTGCTGCACGCAGGCCTGTCAGCTGCTTGATCCATACTGACATCAGGAAACATATTACACATCTGCTGCTCAGAAACATCTGTTCCACGGCAGCGTCACAGCAGACAGAACTTCACTGCCTGTGTTTGTGTGTGACAGTAGCTTGGGCTGGTGTATGACAAGATTTCTTTGATTATAACCAATATTGATTTGTGGTTTGCATGTGAAAACGATTGTATTTAGCACCTTTCCAATGGAATAGATTGTTGATAAATTCATTTATATATACATACAGTGTGTAAAATACGCAATAATCAGTTTTTTTCCTGCTAAAGATATTTCTAATGGAGCTGTTGACATGAAATTGCTCAAAAATTTTGGTCAAACAGCAAACAATTCAAAAGCTCATCCAACGTTACTGGAGAAATTGTAACTTAATTTTAAACCAAAGTATTAGAGTTGTTCTAGACAAAAGGGTTTAATGTACAGAATGAGACATTATCAGTAAAGATCTGACCAGGAAGGGGAGGAAGAGAAGCTGACAGAGGAGCGAGGCCAGAGTGGGACAGATGCAGTACGTACCTTCAGCAGTTCCAGAGAATCCGTCCACCTTAAAGTTACTGGTGCTCTTCTTTCTCCTGTGTTTTTTACGGTTGGCGTGAGGTGATGGGGGAGGGTCCATCTTTGGACTGGTGGTACTGGATATGCTGGGACTGGAGCACACAGAATCTCCCAAACCGGTATCTGCACAAACAGAGAAAGACTGATATGAGTTCAGCCCTACTTTACTGAACATGTATAAAGTATTCTGTTGTGTCGTGGTGGTCATTATAAACCAAATTCTTAAATTCTCACTTCATGTAAAAATACTTTTTTATTTCATAAAGTTTATGCTTATTTGTCTTATTAAAAAATAGATTTACAGTAAAACAATGATAAAAAATGAAGTTAGCTCAAACAGTTTTAGATATAGTAAGTGTAGTAAATAAATAGTAAAAAAAAAACGTCACCTTTGTAAGTGCGTGTGCTCTATCTGTGGTGTCTGTGTTGTGATCACGTGGGGTCATTACCTAATGGCGGTCAGCTTTTCTAATCAGTCGCTTTAGCTGTGCTTAATTTCAGCTGCACCAATTCTTTGCTTTGTTGTCATTTCATTATTGTTTGTTAATAGTGTCTCTGTGCATTAAGCTGCGGTCACACTGGGCTTTTCCTCCCATAGACTTCCATTCATACGCATGCGAATGCATCAGACCAGAAACGCAGGGTCATGCATCAAGTTGCTTCTGAGCAAAGTTCAACCTTGGTGAACTCTGGCCTGCGAAATCTCATCACTTTACTGCATGAGACCAATGGAGGATCAAAACATGACATCTCTGGACAGAAATTTAAAACATGGAGCAATCGCTCGCTTTTTAAATGTCTAATCATCTTGTTTAATCCCGCCCCTTTTCGCAGCGCCACACTACAGAATTTCACACACAAACTCTAGTGTGACCACAGCTTCAGTGTTATGTTGGACATGTCTGAGCCATTCTACCTAGAACTTATTTTGACTCATGTCCTGCTTCGGTGTTTGGGTCGCTTGTTTATTTTGGACTATTTTGCTCCTTCTGATCTATGACCTTTGGTCATTAAAAAGACACTTGCATTTGGATTCATATTTGTTTATCTTTCTTCAATTTTAGAGTGACAGAAACACTACAAAACTGAATAAATGTAAGTTGATTTTTATAAAAACCAAACTTGAGGAGTTGAGTGATTTCCTTTTGTTTTATTTTGATTTAATGACCGAACATAAGGCTCCTGTCAGATTAATATTGAATGCATGAATCTAATATAACAACTGGCATAAAGTTCACCAAATTATTTACATTCACCTAACACAGTGGTTCTCAAAGTGGGGGTCGGGACCCCCTGGGGGGTCGCGGGACAATGACAAGGGGTCGCTTGGTGATATCCAAAACTCAAATAAATTTTATTAAACTATTAGAATTACCATATTTTATTCATAACCGACAGAATATAGTTAATAGTTGCATTAATGAAACAACAACATAAAAATAACAATCAGCCATCAGCCTTTAATTTTAAAAGCAAAATGTAATTAAATCCATAAATGACTTTCAAAAATATTATATGGCTAATAGACTGTTGCATTTTTGTGTTGTCAGTAAGCTCATGTTTATATTTGCCTATAGTTGTATCTGCAACGTTTACATATTTACAGTACAACCACCTTGAAAAATGGGGGTCGCGAGCCACTGATATGATTATTTTTGGGGTCGCGGGCTGAAAAGTTTGGAAACCCCTGACCTAACAGACTGTGTATATACATATACATACACACAGACTGTGTCTATAGAGTGTATGTGTATATATCAGCAGCAGATAAGAAGGAATGGCGGAAGAACGTAGTTCCTCATACAAAATGGTTTTTAGACACTCGTGTTTGATTTTTTTTTTCTATACATGATTATGCCATCAAGCTGTTGTAGAAATGCAATATTACACTCGTAGCAGTGCGATCTGGTTGTATATCGCCACTGGTGGGACACTAAGGTGCACTAAGGCGCCTCCCACCGATATACAGCCATATCACACTGCTACTCATCTGATATTGCTCATATATATATATATATATATATATATATATATATATATATATATATATATACAAATTACAAGACACCATACATCCGATGTCTCTTCAGCATTTGCTTGCTCGCTATATCTATACTCACTCCACCATCCCCAACTCCTCCTAGCTCATTCCTAATATCGGTTCGTAACAGTAGCCAAGAATATGGCCTCATGTCTCTAGCATTTACAGTAACAATCTAAATAGTTTATGAACACTGTTGAGTCAATGCTGTTGACTTGCAGCTGCTCCCTGCTCTGTCCATGCATACCTACAAGTAGGGGTAGCGTGCAGCTTTGCCTAGAACAAAACCATCCCGCCAACACTAACTACATGCTCAATATATATTTATGTACATTTGACAAAAGGGATTCTGACTGAATTGCATGCAGCATGCACAATTTGGGTATAAAATCTTGGGTCTAAATCGAAATATTCATCCACGTATTTTCAATCACATTTTTGGATTTCACATGAAACAATGGATGCAAATGGCAAGATGAACATAAAATCTTAAACTTGACTCAAAGGTGAAACCTTTTATATATTATGCAACAAAAATCGGTAAATAAACAATTATTGGATAGATTTATGGAGGAAAAAACAAGACCTTCCTACAACAGACCATTTGATTAGATAACTTTACTAAACAGCAGACTGATCTAAAATGCTTTTTATAAGTCATATTGAAAGTATGTCATCAAAATAATTTGTAAATTACTTCAAAAAAGGTTGCATTAACAAACACCAGTCATCTGTCTGTAAAAGTAAGCCAATGTGACAGTGTTTTTACCGGATGTTTTGTCAAACTGAAACAAGTTATCTGTACCAGCTTGCCAGGAAGTGACAAAGAAATTAATTTTGCTCTCTTGAAGGTATGCAAATTGTGATTTATTAAGTAATTATAAATAAAATTGTCCATTTCTGTTATTTGTTTTTCCAAAAATAATATGTTCTTTGTATCTCCCACTAGTAATATTGTCATTCACGCATGTTTCTTTATCAGTCTAAAATGTCAATAACTTACATCAATAGTGAGCTAAATGGATTGACGCACAAATAATACCGCAGAATATCTACCGCTAGACATTTAACATTGTTGCTAAGATTTATAGCGCCTGACCCTACAGTGGTGTCTTCTCTGGTTTAAATGATTGAGCGTCCGCATTTGTGTGAGGCCAGTTCTGATTGGCGTTTGGCTGGATACTGTGGCTCAGGCTATCAGAAGGCTGCTTCACTTTTCATAAGCACCACTGACAGCTGTGACTAGCGGCAGAATAAAATAACATTCAGTTCACATCAATATCAGGCCGGGTGAAAGCGCTGATGTGGGGAGGGTCCGGGGGGGATGTTCGAGCTGGCACTGAGCATGCTCATCAGCGCGCAGCCCCAAGGACGGCTGTAACTTATTTTACAATCGTTTAGTCTCAGCTCAAGTGGAAAACGTGACAACTTATCTCTGCTGACAAGATGCCATCCCAAAGTGAACAATTAACCACCTCTTTCTAACAGCCCCTTTGTCTCACACACACCTCGGCGTCAAATAAACCTTCTTCGTCTCCCTCATATTCTCTATCCCTGTCTTCTCAAGCTCAGTGCTTTCTCTAAAAGTCATTTATTAGTCTGGTATAATTCCAGCAGACACTCAATCACAGCCCAACTGCTTGTGGAATTTGTTGGAGGAAATATACAGTTTTTTCAAAGGACAGAAAGGAAAACAAACCATACAACTGTGATACAATTATCCACTTCAAGGGAAAGGTTAAATATCTGTCAGCATTTATGAAACAACTACATAAATTACAACACATTTGTGAGTAATACTTGGCTTGGTAAAGCTCATTGCTAGGATGTTGTGGGTACTGGCGTATTTGGTCTGGATTCCTTAAACGGTCCATCCAGAATTTAGCAAAAAATAAATAAAAATCAGATTTTTGTGACTAAAATTAAGTCAGAATTATTAGCCCTCCTGAAATATTAGCCCCCTGTTCATTATTGCTGTGTTTATTCTAAACATAATAGTTATGATAACTCATTTCTAATAACTGGTTTATTTTATCTTTGCCATGATGACAGTAAACACAATTTTACAAGACACTTCTATGAAGCTTAAAGTGACATCTAAAGGCTTAACTAGGTTAATTAGGTTAACTAGGTAGGTTAGTGTAATTAGGCAAGTTATTGTATAACGATGGTTTGTTCTGTAGACTATCGGAAAAAAATAGCTAAAAGGGGCTAATAATTTTGACCTTAAAATGGTATTTAAAAATTAAATACGGCTTTTATTCTAGCCGAAATAAAACAAATAAGACATTCTCCGGAATTAAAAATATTATCAGACATACTGTAAAGATTTCCTTGCTCTGTTAAACATAATTTGGGAAATATTTAAAAAAAAAAACAACAAAAAACAAAGAGGGGCTAATAATTCTGACTTCAACTGTATTTTATTGTGTTTTGTTAAAATTTTCAGCATTTCTTAAGTTGTTTTGCTGTGGGAAATATGCAAAAATCTTAATTCTTAATAAAAAAAATTACTCCAAGAACTATTGATCTCTGTTATTTATAAAAAGTAAACACTAAGAGAAACAGAAAAAACTTAAGGGACCTTAATCGATTTGTAAGGTCTGCTTTATCATATCTGATACATAAAGCGCTCTCGAAGATCAAAATTAAACAAAACTTTGTTGAAAATCATTAATAGAATTAGAAAAATCATGCTAACATAAATTTATTAGATAATGGGGTATTTATTTGTGCAATCAGAAGATCTAATTCATTGAATTCTTTTACTCACCACAATTAAAATAAAAGAGCTTTCATCATAAAATTTAAGCATTTACTGTAATTGCCAGAGTAGTGGGAAATTCAGAGCTTTAAATTAAATTTAAATGCATTTTAGTCGTCTGATATATTACAATGAAAATATAACTCCTTTACATCCATATAAAGTTCACTAAATTTCAATAATTACCCAATTTGAAGCCCAAAGTAAAACTGAGCTGTTTTTGTTCTGTATTCTTACTATCAATCAGACGAGCCACTAAATGCCTGATGCATAAAATATATGAAAATAATAAATAATCAGAACTGAAATGATGCCATC